TGCTTCTCAGTCATGTTCCCCTCTCTGGAGCAGCCCCCAGGCTCTTGCTTGCTTATGCATACAAAACCGGGGTTTTAATGTTTGCCTCTGTATCGCTTGGCTTGGCCCAAATGTTCTGGAGCGCATCTGCTGCCGTTTGTGGCACACTGAAATGTCAGCTGCAAGAACTGTTGGAGGAATGAAGAGGGATTGGCCAGTGAGAAGGATTTCCCTGCAGGAAGGCTTTGATCTTAGCCTCCTTTTGGGTGCTGTCAGGTGGCAGTGAGAACAGATGGGTTTTGAAAGGCTTACGGAGCACCCAACTCGAATGCACGCTGCGATTCTGCAAGGATGCCAGTGTGTCTGCCCAGGAGGCCCAGCTGATTTGCAGTGCAGAACTGGCCACAGCTGATGGGGAATGGCTTTGCCCCTAGAAAGCTGGGATAGTCATGCAAGTTTGGCTGGTGGGCGAGTGAGCCCAGCTGAGCTTATCTTTTCCTGAGCAATAGGGATGCACCTGCTTTTAGGTACTGGGAGAGTCTTTGCTGTTTCCATGGATCTTGCCCCACATGCCTCCACCCGAACAACAACCAACAAATCAACACACCCTTGGTTTACCTGTTGGGAAAATACCGAGCCGGGAAAGAGTGGACTTTAAGCCCCATTAATCCTACCTGATGCTTTAGCTCTCTGATCGCATTGCTGCCTGGCTGCTGCGGCTTTTAACCGGGTCATTCCTTAATCTGATAGCAGAGGAGGGCTTGGGTTCCCAAGCAGGTTGGGATTAACCCGGTCTAATCTCTTGATCCTGTTAGAGGACCTGTCCGCCTAATGTGTGATTAACGGCAGGCCCAGGCCTTGCCGGGGTGGAAAACCCGGTGCTGAGGGGCAGAATGGGCGGCACTGGGGTGGGAAGAATGCCCCGGGTGCATTCTGGGCGAGACGCGGGTGGCTAAACTCGGCTGGGGCAGGCGCGGCTGGTCTCTTGCTGCTTCATTGCAGCGGCAGCTTCTGAAGGGTCGTTGCCGGGTCTGCTGTGGCAGGAACGGCAAAGAGTCCTGTGGCAGTTGAAGGACTGGAATGCTTTTCTTACGGCAGGCACTTCCGTGCACCAGGCCAGCCTTTCCCATGTGCCGGGCTGCCTGCGAGGCCCTGGGCCCACAGCACAGGGCTGGCACCACAGGGCTAGACCCCCCGTCTCTTTGCCTGCACTGTGCCTTATTTCATGCACCTCTCCCATGCCGCCTCCTCCTCGCCTTTCTGCTGCATGACACAGGCCCAGGTGTTGCAGTCTTTCATCAGGGTGGAGTTGCTGCAGCCCTTCATCTTTTTAAGGCGCACTCCTCTATCCCCCGCCCCCGCCCCCAGCAGATCTTGCAAGCCTCTGGACTCAAAAGCTCACAAGTGTCCAACAGCAGAAACAACAGCAGCGGAAGACAGCTCTGTTGCGTCTTGCATTTCCCCGGCACGGCCTCTCCTGGCCATCTCGATTTAGTGCTGGCTTGGGGGGGGGGGGTGTGACTGGAGTTGGCCAAACTGCTCACTCTGCTCCCCAAGCCCCGTTTCCCCGCTCCAAGGCCCAGCTGCAGCCCTGGGTTGGGGGTGCTTGGCCCGGTTGTTTCTGTGCAACAGCCGGAGGGCAGGGTGGGGGCTGGGACTTCAAAGAATTCTGTGCCCCCCCCCCCCGCAGTGTGAGGAGGTTGTACAACTGGCTTACCCTTTCTGCCCTTTTTGCAGCTCTCCATCATGCTTTTCCAGCGCGGGGACCAGAACAATACAGAACGGTGTGAGCGCGGGAACATTGCAGTATTGTGGAAGGACAACATGGGATTAACAAATTCCGTTCTGATCTCTTTCCTGAACCGCCCAAAGAGCTTTGGCTGTCGAGCCAAAGGAAAAGACATGCCTAACCTGGGTTTTACCTTTTCCACAGCAGCTGCGTGCTTTCGTCACGCGCTCTGCCACAGCCCCAAGATCTCTTTCTTGGTCGGCTCCAGCTGCCTGAGCTCCCATCAGCATGTAGGGGAAGGTGGCACCTTCGCCCTTACTCTGGATTAACTGAAGCCCATTCCCCCACTGGGCAGCTGCTCACGAACCCCTTGGTGTTTTATCTGCCCCCGAAATCTTGAACCTGGGCACCTAATTCCAGCTCAGAAATGAACATGTTAACAAGAGTTGGTCCTCTACAGATTCCTAGGAGGCCCCACGGTTTATGTAGGGAGAATATTCTTGCTCTTCCCTTTCTGTTCTTACTGACACCTGAGAGGCCGTTATTCCAGGACTGCTAAGTTTGCTCAGGAGTCTTGATGAGGGACTCCGTCAACTCGAGGCAAGTCTTGACAGATGCCCTCAAGAACGCCAAAAGTTACTGAGATGGGACTTACCTTTGTGGAAGCCACACCGATTCCTTTTCACCAGGGCATTCCTTTTTGCATGCTTACCGACTTTATCTTCGGCCGAGCTTTCCACCAGCATGCCCAGACTGTAATTACCCGTAATTTCCCGCTTCCCTCTGATCCCCTTTCAAAGATTGGCATTACGTTGGCTGTTCCCTGGTCCTCGGGTTCAAAGCTTGATCTTAAGGAAACGTTACATATTTTTGTTAGAACAGCAATTTATTATTTCTTACAAGGAGCCCAAGGTGGCTTGCCTGATTCCCTACCTCCTCCATTTTACCCTCACAACAACCCTGTGAGGTAGGATAGGGTGGGAGACAGTGACTGGCCCAGAGTCATCTAGAGGGAACTAGAACCCAGGTCTTCCGAGTCCCAGTTCATGGTTCTGATCACTCCATGGCACCAGCTGTTCCACACTTCACGCCGTGAGAACTCCAGGAGGGACACCCAGCGCTGGTGATGCATTAGCTTTACTCGTGTCAATAAGGTTACGACGAAGGGCCCAGATTCCAGACGAAGCAGAACATAAGCACAGGGCTGCCCAGGAGCAAACTGGTCCAAGAGACCGTTCTAATTAAATCTTACTTGTGAACACTCAGCCAATTTTGAACTCTCTTGTGCACAAGATCAGGCAACCCTTAAAGCTGGCCATTCTCAAAGGGGCCACGGTGAAATTGATTGTGGTTTCTGCGTGATGGTTCTCCTGCTCTTAATCTGATTGGCTCGCAGATAAAGCTGCATCCCTCAGCAAACGGCACGTGGAATCTTTTTGTTTCCAGCTCGCAGGGGTGGTGTGTAGGGGCCATCAAGTCACCTCTGCATGAGCGCCAAAATGACCTGCCCTTGACAGCCCTGCTCGGCTCTTGTAAGCGCAAGGCGACGGATTCCTCGGTGGGATCGATCCACCTCCTAATTGGCCCTCCTCTTCGCCCGCTTTCAGGTTTCCCTACCCTGGTAGTCTTCTCCACTGAGTTAGGCCTTCTCGTGATGTGCCCAAAGCACAACAGCCTCATTTCCACCCGGTTTGCTTCCAGGAGGCGTTCACTGAGATTCTCTCATTGCTGAAGGCTGTGCATCTGCATGTTTTTGGTGAAACATGGTGGTATTCACATGGCGGTTGTCTAGTTCTCCAGTACATATTTCCACAGCAAGTTAAGCTTTCCAAAGTAACCAAAGAGCAGAATTTCCCACCCTCAGCTGAGCGGCACCTCTCTTCTTGCAGTGTCTTTAAGCTGCTCTGTGAATCCATAAGGACTAGAAACTTGTGTGATGTGTGTCTGCTCCTCTGCCCCCCTAGTGCATTAAACGTCTGGGCAGGAGAGTGGGAGAGGAGAAAGTGGAAGGATGGCGCATGCTTCCAGGGGCTGGTCCGTGACATATCCGTAGCGGCCAGTGCTGAGGCGTCGGCATCCCTATGTGTAAGTGCAAGGCAGAGAGACTCCTAATGCAGAAGCAATTAAAGTGCCTTCTGCAACCCATTCATTAAGTGCTGCTTCATCTCTAATTAAGCTAATTGCGATCTGCGTCACCCACTCAGCCCTGCTTTCCCTCTCCTTCCCTTCACCCCGAGTCGCTTGTGGCTCCACAGGTTCGCAAAGCTACTGACGGGGAATGGTTCAGAGGCAAGGCTGTTGGAGGGTCCAGTTTTGCAGCCGGCCAAAGAAAGTGTCTCGTCTCCAGGCCCAGCTGAGTGAGCCCGGGTGCCGCTCCGAGCCCGGGTCTTTCTGTGGCCAAGATGGCATGCGCAAGAGGGACATACTGGCCAGCAGAGAAGTACAGACTTCCTTGGGTGGGCAGAAATCAGCATGAGCCCAGTGAGGATCGAACAAGTCCCGTGTCGCTGTGCTGACTGGGCTGGAGCTGCGGGGAGTAAAATAGAGCAGTGGCGGCCCTGCGATTCTCCAAGCTTTCCTCTGCCCCTTTTCCAGAAATGTATTTTGAGTGTGGAATGTGACCAGGCATTGAAAGCAGAGGCCCGTGCCCTTTCCCCAAACACCAGCTCTTTGGTAGGTTCCTATCTTTTGCCCACTTTTTCAGCAAATTATTCACTAGCAGTAGGAGCATTAAACTAAATTAGCACCACCCCAGTTGCTCCACCCACCACATGCAGGCCCAAAGAACTGGGCCAGAATTTGGCCCTTGGGCTGATAGAGACTTCCTCCCCTGCTCTGAAGGTCCACAAATCTGTCATGGCACACATGCAAGCCAATGCATCCCTTTCATCCACCCACATCATCGCACAGCCTTAAATTAAATCGATGCATGCAAGAATTACCCGGAGGAGTTCTTGGGGGACTCTGGACTGGATTTCCCTCTTTGGGAGCTGCCCAGACCCCACAGAAACACCTTCCTTATGAATTCTTTGCATTGTCGTCCGATGGCTGGCAAAAATCAAGGGCGAGTGAGCTCCGCAGTGCCGTGGGGCACCAAGTTGGCATCTCTTACACACACACACACCCTGGCAGCCGTGCTGGCTGGCTGCGCTGCGAGTTACTCTTTGTCTCCTGATCAGTGTTGACTTCCCTGATGTTTCACTCCTCTTTCAAAACTGGTGCTCAAAATGTCCTCGTCAAAGGTATCAGAAAGATCCATGCCTCCAGTAACCCAGGCCCGTATGTCTTCCAGGCTGTGGAACCAGCGCTCTGAGCTACGACCTCTTCCAGCTCGGATATGCCGATGTCACCAGCATAGACTACTCAGGCACATGCATCTCAAGCATGCAGAGCTGCTATGCTCATTGCCCGGGCTTGCACTGGGCAGTGATGGATGCCCGGACGTTGAACTTTGTGGACGGGAGCTTTGACGTCATCTTGGAGAAGGGCACTTTGGATTCCATGATGGTGGAAGAAAAAGACCCCTGGAACGTCTCTCAGGAAGCCCGAATGCTTCTTGACCAGGTGCTAACGGAGGTGAGCGGCAGGGTGGCCCCTCTCTCTGCTGTCCACTTCTCGGATCTCGGCCCTCGCTGGATTATGGTTCGAAGGCATTAGCTCGGTGTCACTGCTGCTTGGCTTTTCTCTTGCTTGCGGCTCCTCACTATTGCAGAATCACACTTTGTTCTAAAAAATCCTCACGCTTTTTAATGTCTCTAGTCCAGAGAACCTGTTTCAGAAAGCAGCTGTCCTCCAAGTTCACCTGGCTTGGAATGGGTGCTTTCGAAGGTTGGCGCATCGCGGGCTGGATTGTGACCGGTGCCTGCAGAGGCTCAGATCCGGATCACACCAAGATCTCTGTCCCTTTCTTTCCACATGCTCCCCACCCATGTTCCCCAGCAACTCATGTTCGTAGAGAAGAGTCGCCATGGATAACCACCTGCTCCATGTATTTGTCCAGTCCCCTTGAACCCGTCTGAATTGGCCGGCACTGCATCTTGTGGTAGCAGATCCACTGTTTAACTATATGTGGTGTAAAGAAATACTTCATTTTATCTGTCCTGAATCTCTTGCTCCCCAGCCGAATTACAGGAGTTGAGGGGAGATACCCACTCTGTCTGCAGCATGCAGAATTTTCTCTCCTGTCTCCTCTTACTTGCCTTTTTTGTACACTACTCAGACCCAAATGTTGTGATGTTTCTCCTGGAGACATTGCTCCAGCCCTTGGGCTGTTTTAGTTGCCCTTTTCTGCACTTTTCCCCAACTGCCCTTTCTTAAGATGTAGTGACCAGCACTATGCACACAACTGTGGGTGTGCTATAGATGTGTGTACTTGGCTTCCGTGCCGCTCCTGCGTGCACCTTCCGGGTGCTGTCCCAAAGCCCCTTTCCAGGGAGAAAACCCCCCACAGAACTGAGATGTGGAGAAGCTGAAATACAAGACTCACAATTGAGAAAGGAAACAAACTTTGAAACCCTGCACAAAATGATGCCCTTTTATTGCCTTTCATTAGCCAACTTAACCATGGCACTAAGGTGATACAATACCGCTCGCTTGCGGGTAATGACTCAAAGCTTGACTTTTGAGTCTCCCCCTCATTCTTCAGTATAATCCCCACTATTTCCAGAAACGGTGCCTGCTGGCTAGGATTGACATCATCCCTGTCCGGAACTGGCCTCATTAACCTGGAAATCTAGCCTGTTAATTCCTTTCAGGGCTGGTGGGGGGGGGACGTCTCTGGCTGTTCCCTGCGGGGTGGGGGACGCTCCCTACACCCAAGCTGGCTTGCCTCTATTTCTCCCCATGTTCCAGAGCTGAGTCCTCGTGCTGAGTCCACCCCCTAAGTTCGGGGCCTGCGCCTTGGGAGCTCCGGCACTTCCTGCACTGCAGGTGAGCTCCCAGGTGAGCCCAGCCAGGTGGAAATTTCCCAGGCCACAGTGGTGGGGCAGCTTCACTCTGCTGATGGAGGCGGTTCTCTCTCGGTGAGCTTGAGCTGGCTGCCTCCGGAAGCAGCAAAGCTTGGAGCGCCTTGGAAGGAGGGCTGGGGTGGCAAAGATCCTCTGGGGGAAGAGGGGAGAGCGTGGCCAAGGCCACAGAGCTGCCCCAGTGCTGGCTGTGGGGGCGCCCCTTGTTCTTGTGGGTTCTGTTCTCCCCACGACCCTCCCGGGCCATTCTGTAGGGTCTTGTGCATTCATGTGCAGCATCCCTGGAGGGAGGGGAGGGAGGGTCCCAGCTTGAATTGCCCCCAGTGCCAGAAGGCAGGCCACTTGCAGGGGGTGCTGATTGGGTAGGGGGCTTCACTCTTCCGTTTTCGGGTGAGGGGGCGTAATCCAGCCTTGGAGCCTTCCGGCTGGATTTTGCTGGGTGGGGGCAATGGGTCAGCACGCCAGGTGGGGGATCTTCTTGCTCCGCTCCGCTCCGCCTGGGGGACTTTGCCTAGCCGGTGGGGGGGGATGCTGTGGCTTTGGGCACATTTTTTCCCCACCCCACCCCACCCCACCCATGCGCGTCCCTTGGCTGCCCTTCCCTCCCCGGTTGTCTGGCTTTCCCGCTTTGGTCCCCTCTCCATCTCATTAGCTCGGTGAATCTCTCTCTCTTCTCCCCCCCACCGGCTCGTTCTCCCTGTTTCCATGGAAACCCTCATCCTTATTGACTAGGCCCCGCGCTGGGATAGGAAAGGCAATGCCTCTGGGCCATTATTAATTGGCATGATGAGTCCAAAGCAGCGGGAACGTATTGAGCTTGGCGGTGTGTGTTTTGTCGGTGGCGGGGGGCAGGAATTGCAGCTCGCCCTGTCGGGGGGGCGGTGGGCAGCATGGCGGATACATCTCCCCCCATCTTTCTCCACAGTCGTCTTGCTGTGTTTGCATCATTGCCTGAGGCCTCTGGGGGTCGGGGTGGAAGGGAGGCGCATAGGTGGGGAGGGGGCGCTGCTGGCATCCGCTCCCCCCCCCCCAGGCTGACTCTGCGTGCCCTGGGCAGGCAGCCACCCCGGCCGGGGCGGGTGCAGCAGGCGCGGAGGGGAGCGGGCAGAGCCAGGCTGGAGGAGGCCATCCATGGCCGCCCTCCTCGTGGCCAGACGCTTCCTGCTGTGTTGGGTCTGGGTGCCTCCGTGCACTGGTTGCTCGAGAACCCGGGCGGAAGGGTGCTCTTGAACGGGCGTTTGGCTTGTGGGGTTCCGTGGGCAGCTGGCGGGCGTGCCGGGCTAGAAACCCCCCGATGTGCTCCAGCCTCTTGTCTTCTCACGTGCCTCACACCCTTTGTCCAGCTGGTTCCCTGCGTGCTCGTCCCTTGCTTTTCATGGGTGACTCCATGGGTCGCTCTCTCCCTCCCTCCATCTCCCCCCCTCCACTGCCCTTGGGGGATTCAGTCGGGCTGGCGCCCATGTGCTTCCTTGACAGAAGCAGGCGAGGGGTCAGTCCGTGGAGACATGACCGTGGGGACATCTCGGCCCCTGCCCCGGGTCCCAGCCCTCTTTCCTCAGCCCCGGGCTCCGCCCCCTGCACCGCCAAGCGAATGCCAAGCCCCACTGCGTGGCATCAGCTCCCGTCAGCCGCCGGACGGCATCCCCGGCTGAGCCACACAGAGCGCCACCTGCTCAGGCGCTGGGCACCTTCGCCGAACTCCCGTTTTCCTCACTGCCGGTCAAACCGGCTGCGGCAACAGAGCAGAGCTCGGGAATTTCCGACCTTCCCATCTGGCTGACCTCATGGGAGGGGCTTCTGCCTCTGGCTGGAGGGCCGCTGGGTTTGGGGGCCCAGGTGCGAGGGGAGGCATGGTTTGGGAAGGGAACGTTCTCTGCCCATCCCTCACAGTTCATGGTGCCCTAAGTTTTCTCCACGCTTGCTGTCCCCAGAGGTCTTTGGGGCATTCCCTGAGGCCATATTGCAGCCTTCCCCAGTCTGGGACCCTGCAGGTGCACTGGCCAGTGGATGCTGGGGGTTGTAGTCCAGTGCATCTGCTGGCCCAGGGCTGGAGAAGGCTGCCGGTTGTGCAAGACAAAACACCTGTAATAGGAGCTTATTGTGCAGTCCCTTCCACATTGGGATGTGGCAAAAATAAACCTTAAGCCTTTCTGAATTAAGCCCCAGTGCCTGTTCCTAGATTGTGTAAGCCCCTTCATGTGATGCCCCTGTCAGAAGCCCCCCCCAGCACCAGCAAACCTGCCCATCAAGTGGGGGGGGCAAAGAGGAGCCACTTCACCAATGTGCCAGCTCATTTTTGAGCATGTCAAAAATATATCGTGCTTCCACCTACAGTGTGAAGTTGTAGGATCCAAAGTCTTAGCACTTCCTTCTGCCTTCAGTTCACACGTGGAGGTGGTAAACTTTTCACAGGGCTGTACCATGTCGGACTGCAAGGGGGCGGGGGGGGGCTCGTGTGACCGAATGTTCTCCTCTGCAGAAAAGAGGCGACGTGGATCCGGAGCTGAGCAGACCTGCCCTCCCCAGAGTGCCCGCCGTCTGTCTGCAGGGAATTTTGAGGCTGTTTGATTGACTGACTGATTGCAGGGGACGCGTGTTCAGTGATGCAGGCCGGCACCTGCAGTGCTCTGAATCGCTGCAGCCCAGATGCAGGCATGTCATCGCGGTGACAGCTCGTCTCCGTGTGTGGTGTCGCTCGGGAGACCCAGAGCCGAAAGGATAAGCAGCCTCACGCTGGGTGAATCTTGCCTTCGTACCGCAACCCCAAAGTGCACAGAGCGAATGGATGTATATCCTGGAGTCGCTGCCCGAAGGATCGGGAAGCGGGCTTTCCATATTCCTCCCCACACCCCGCAGCCCAATTAAATGGTCCTCCAGAGACGTTGCGATAACTGCCAGTAGGCCAAGCGCCATGCAGTTGTCTCTAAGCAACCGTCTTTCCCGTTCTGGTAACCGTGGGCAGGATGTGGGTGGGGGTGTCATTCCAGATCCTCTTCAGGAGGGTGATGGTCCTCTTAGATCCTCCGTCCCTCCCTTTCCTCTTCTTGCCATGCGTGAAAGCAACCCGGCTCCAGGGATTTGGGCCGACTGGGCCTCTCCATTCCTGCAGTTAGACTTGGATGCGTCTCTGCCCAACCTTTTGCCCAGTTTATTGTCCCAGTCACCTATTTTTCCTGGATTTTTTTAAAAAAGCATGAACTTTCTTCCACTTCCATTTGTATGTTATATGAGGCATGGTGCTTGCTCACCCTCTGTGTGATCACGGACAGTGTCCCTTCACCTCTGGATATTTCTGAAAGTCACAATTTGCTCAGCTCCCATAAACTGCCTTTCCTTGACACCTGCTTTCCGTACCTGCTCACTTTTCTTGTAGAGAGAAGAGTTAGTCTTTATTCCGACAGCCTGGAAACCTTTCTCTGGCACACATGGCTTTGTGAAGCTGTGCTGGCACAGAGCGTCTCAACTCTGGGCCCAGTCCTGTTCTCTTTCCGTGTTCACTGCAGCTTTTCCTCCCTTTGGGACATGGTAGTGGCATATAAAATCAGGCATGGTGTAGCTGGGGAGAAGTCAGCCCTGACGCATGTATCATATCAGGGCTGCCAGCTTCTTGTCTCAGCAGTGGACTTCCTAGAGGCAGCTCTTCAGCCCCTGCGAGGAACAGGATGCTAAATTTGGTGGTCTTTCGATGGGATCCAGCAGGCCTCATCCTGTGGAGATGGCCTTTAAAAAGGAATCGGAGAACTTGGACAGATGTCAGCCAAAGCTGATCAATGGAGCAACCCCGTTCCTTCCCCTGAGGGATCCTGGTAATGCACATGGGGCAGGTGATGGGGAGAGAGGCTGGGATTCTGCACCGCCCAAGTGGCTGCTGCTGCTGCTACCTGCGCCCTGCTCTTTTGACCCCAGTCCTCCTGTTTTTCTCCTGTGCCAGACGCCTCCGCAGGGGGACACCTTACGTTCCCCAGCCCTCCCTGGCTTCCTAAACCTCCTTGGTGCTGCTTTCCGTAGTACCTTGCTGGTGCATTTATGGCCACCGCCCCATCCTAAATGTAGTGGACAGGGGCGATTGGCGTCCCTCTGGTTCCCCTCCTCCCCTTTCCTTGTCCGTCTGTCAAGGAAGACATTGGTCCACAGCAACCTGCCCCCTTAATTTCCTGTGGATGCTTCGGAGCCCCGTGCATGTGTCTGCCAGAGGAATTTGCAGATGTTAGCAGCTGGACCCCCTCCCTTTGCTTTGGAGCAATCCCAGCTCCCTGTTTCAAAATGGGTTATTTTTTAAAAAATTGGAGTGGGAGGGCATCCTGGCAGATGCCAAGACAGGTCTCAGGGAACACGGACTCCGCGGCCCCGATCCAGCATGGACGCATTGGGTGGGCTCCACAGACGGATTATCCAGCCTGGGAGACGGCTGCCTCCCCGACCACACATCTCCCAGTCCGATCCAGCGCAGCTGTTCTTATGTTCCTAGGCAGCTGCCAAGTTCCAGTTTTCAGGGCTGGGGAGCCCCTCGTGCCAAGTTCCGTGCCACCCAAGGTTGAAGTCCAGGGGAGGTCTTGCCTTGAGCCATCTGAAATTTCCCACCATGGAAGCTTTCTGCCTCTTCTGGTGCTGGTGGTGTATTTAAAATTCCTGCAGCATACAAGGCACTGGCTCCTTGTGCCAAACACAGCGGAGGGGCGGTCGCTTCCCCGCCACCCCAGATGGAGTGAACATAAAATACGGAAGGGCTGCTCTCTGGACCGGAGAATATGGGTCAGTGGAGGATCAACAGATGCTCGGCCATGCAGCCAGCTGCAGGGCCTTTTGTGCTCTGATGAGGGAAAATAGCCCCCTGGGGAACAAGGGGTCCAGAACGTAGTCACATGCAGGGCTCTCTGGCCTTTACAGTCAGGGCCCCCTGAAATTCAGCGTGGCTTGAAGTAGTGGAGTTCTCTAAGGAGCACATCAACCCTCTGCAGTACCGAGTGCCTCTCTTCCTGTACCTCCTTCCGGGCTGCGGAGCCCAAACCTGCTCTGCTTTCTCCTGCTGCAGTCTCTCGCCACGGCCTGTTCTGGTTAACTGGTGAGTCATGGAGAGAGAGAGGAAGGGCGCTCCATCCCCACCTGGCACAGGGGCCCCCCGGCAGCAGAGTGCGGGGGAGTTTCCCGGCTCCGCTGGGCGCTGCTTGCACCAGCAGGAGCGGCTCCGCTGAAGCAGGGAAAGGCGCCGGGCGAGCCCAGGTGCTGGCGGCCAAGACCTAACAGTGGAATTAGCATGCCGAGCACACTGGCGCTGGCCGTAAATGCCTTTGACTTTGGATAAAGCCAAGCAAGAAAATTGATGTTCTTTTCCATCCTATTAGCAGGAGCTTACTTCCAGCGAAGAGAAAATGATGATTAAAAGGGTCAAGTCCATCAGCTTCAACAAACCGTACCTTGGACAGCTTGTGTCTTTAAGATCTTGGCTTGGGAACATTCCGGTGGGCTGGGGAGAGGAGGGAAGGACAATAGGCAGCCGTAGAAGTGGGGGTGCATGCTGAGCAAGAGGGGAGGCAGGGCCCCCGTTCCCCTCTCCGGACTGCCAGGGATAGCACAGCACCCCCCAAAGGGGAAATGCCTTAACCAGGCCTTTAATGCTGGAATCTGTTTATGGGGAACGGCTGCAGATCAGGGCAAAGGGCCCTGGTTTGCTCTGCATGCCAGGGGCCCAAGTTCAAGTGATGGGATGGAAGTGGGGCCTCCCCCTGCGATGCTGGGAAGTCATTGCCTGGGGGAGCTAGGCTAGCTGACTCAGGAGAAGGCTACTTCACCTCTTCTCTGGGCTTGGTTCTTACTAGTCCAGGGCTTTGCGGGTGGGGGGCCAGGAGATGTTTCCTTGAGGGAAGAATGCTGCTGCTGCAGTGGATCGGGCTCATCCTGCTTCAGACAGCAGCCAGCTGGATAGATGGCAAAGGTGAAGGCACCCTGAATTTCTCCCCCAGCACTGGGGGTGGGCTGCCTCTGTCCCTCTGATGCCCATGTTGGGGTTTGGGCCAGTGTGGGTGCTGGGCAGAGGGGGGGCTGGCTGCAAGGTGTGCTGCCTTCGCACAGCCACGGGCCAGGCCGGGGGGGGGGGATCCTCTGCTTGGGGGCAGTGCAGCTTTGCCAAGGGGTATGGAAGAGGCCTGCTTGCGCAGGTGAGTGGAGGTGCAGATGGACTGGAACGGGGCAGCTGGAGCTGGTGAGTGAGGGGCGGGCGTTCCTCGGGAAAAAGGGTGCTGAGGTTGGATGGAATCTGTGTGGGGTGAAGTCCTGTTTCTGCCCTGGATGGCCCAGGAATCTGGCCCCAGTTATGTTCCAGCCCTAGATGGCCCCACACCACCCCCCATCTGCACGCATCTTGGTCCCCACTTCCAAAACTGGGCTGCTGGATAACTACAGCCCAGATTGAGTCTGTGTGTGTGTGTGTGTCTGTGTCTGTCTTTCTAGCTTTTATATACTGTCCCATTGCTGGCGTCTCCCATTACTGACTTCTTCCCTGGGTTGGAAGTCCAGAAGCAGCTGGAAGTGGCCAGCGTCGAGTTGGATCGGAGGGAAAGCCGTGATTCTATTAGTGTGAATGAGCAGGGCTTTCAGACAAGCCCTGCCCCATGGGGCTGATGGTCTGAAGCCTGGCGGTGGGGAGACAGGGCAGAAGATGGGCAGTGGAGGAGACCCGGATGCCCGTGGCCCCGAGCAGCCATCCATCCAGTGCTTTGGGGTGGTCACTACATCTCTCCCGTGGGGTCTCCATGGTGTTGCTTCCACCAGGCTTACAGAGAAGAGCGGTGTGTGAGAATCCCGGCTTCCTGTGGACGAGGTTAGGCTTCAGGTGGAGATGGTCTCAGGGACTGCAGTATGTTGAGGCTTTCATTGCTGGCGAAGATGGAGAGCAAGGGTGCCTCTCCTGGCTGGGCCAGCCTTCTCCGTCCTTGCCCACTGACCATGCTGAGTGGGGCTGATGGGAGTCGGAGTCGGGCCAGCATCTGGCCTGCCAGCGCTTCTCCGCCCATGGTCTAAGCCAGCTGGCAGTTGGTGGCTAGGGTTTCAGGTAGAGCCTTTCTCCTATCTGGAGACGCTGGGAATCGAACCCGCAACCGCTCTGTTCCCTTTCTGAGTTCCTGTTGCTCCCCTGGGCCTCTCTCTCGCCCCACGTCAGGGCCAGTTCTGCCGGCTCGGTGACCTTGGAGGAGCTGCGTCTGATGTGGACTGCAGCCCACCCAACTTCCGCTGCCACAGGTGGGTGACCTTAAGGTGCTTCCGGACTGTTTTGTTCTTCCGGGAATGGGTATCTTTCAGCTCTGGCTGCTCATCTGAAAAATCAGAATAATGGGCTGTTGCCAGGACGAATGGGGGATGGATGATGGAACAATGCACACCGATTGAGTTGTATGAATAACGACAGGGAGCAGCTGTGCAGGGGCATCTCTTTCAGAGCCACTGGTGCCTTAACATGACGCAGAGGCACAGGGTGCAGTAATGTCCAAGCCAAAGATAGATGCAGAGTCCATACATATTTAAGTAATTGCTTTGTGGCCATGAGGGCTAGAAACTTGAAACTTACTTTGTGTACCAAAACCGAGTGGTGGCAGCAGGAGCTACTTTGGGGGGGGGGGTGTGAGATGTTTTCATATGACCTCACCGAGGATGGTGGGGGCGGGGGAAGCGCAGATGATTGGAGCCTAGCAAAGCGTCCTCCGTAACTCGGCCCCTCTTTTCTCCCAGGTCAGCAGAGTCTTACGGCCAGGCGGGCGGTTCATCTCCATCACTTTTGCTCAGCCACACTTCCGGAAGCGCCACTACGCCCAGCCCGCCTACGGCTGGTCCATCCGGCATGCCTCATACGGCGAGGGCTTCCAGTATTTCCTGTATGTCATGACAAAGGGAGAGGCGCTGTCCCTGCCAGACCAGGCGCTGGGCCGGAGCCTCCACCTGCGCCCTGCCAGCCCCCCACCGGTGTGCCGCCTCCAAGACTCGGACGATGAAGACTACCTCTCCGCCATTGAACTGTGAGCCTCGGGCAGAGGAGGAGGAGGAGGGTGGGGCGAGGGGCCGTGGGAAACTGTCCCCGTACCCATCTACCTACCGTTCAGCCACCAGTGCCAACACTTCTCCAGTGACTTTGGGCGATTCCTGCATCTTCAGTCTTGATTTTTTTTTAAAAAGGAATGCTTTCTCTGCAGTTGGCGACGGGAGCCAATTCCCTGTGGAACTGGATGGGAACGTTTTCTGCTGCCAGCTCCACTGCAGGAGAAGAACATTTTTTCCCCTCCTCTGAATATTCTCTTCCGTTTGCACCTTGGAGTGGCACAGGGTGTTAGAATCTCTGGGACTGTTTTTAATCTTACCACTGTGCCATGATGTTTTCCCCCATTTCTAATGGGGTGGTGCTTGGGGGTATGCTGCAGTTTCTCAGCAGGTCTTGGGGCCAGCCATTCCCTCAGGAGCGGGGCGGGGGCGGGGGGGGGGGGTTCTATTCCATCCTACTGATTTCCAAAACAAATGACAGGCAGTGCAACCAAGTGTGGGGATTTTCTCTGGGGGTTTTTTGTCCTGCCCAAGGTAATGTCAGGATAAGGTGCAGGACAATTCTGTCAGGGTGACTTTCTCTCTTCCACCCAGTTGAGTTCTTAATCTGCAAAACTTCTGTCTGGAAGTTTGAAAACATTCCAAATGGTGCTACTTAAAAACAGAACCTAGCTGTTTGAATATATAATACAGATTTGGATGGATGAATGCACGGATGCTGCTTGTTTACCAGGGGTGAAAAGCTGTGTCATTTTGATGCACTGTCAGGTCATCTCCAATTTAGAGCAATCCTATGAATGAAAGAGCCCTCCAAAGAGTCCATCCACAACAGCCGTGCTCCATTCTTGTAAAGCAAAACCTTCCCACATTCTCACCGCTACATGAATTAAATTGATAATAGTACAGGATTCCTGTACCCTTTTGCAACTGGTCATAGTTGATAGTCCTGTGGAATATTTCTGGCCCAGGAATTAAGGATTATAGGATGTGGTCAGATAGGATTGTTGATTTGATACAGGGAGGGAAACTGAAAGCTAAAATGGGCGTTTAAATCTGTCTCGTTGCTGAATGCTTATAGTGTTTTTACGCTTTTAGAATGATAATGATCATGAGGACTAGAATTCCTCTTTTTTAAAACTCTTCCCATTGTGCCGGTGTTGTACAGATATGGAGTGCCCTGCTGGAGGAGGAGGAGGATAATCTTTATGGTAAACACATGTATGATTAGAGTTTTCGAGTTTAGGATAAGAGGACAGGCTCGGCTGAATTAAACCTCGGTCGAGCTGCATGTGCATCATGATTGCAGGAATGCAACAAAATTCAAGGCCTCTGGTGTGGCACAGAATTCAACTTCCTGAGAATATTGTATCCTGCTTTTAACGGTACTGCCAGATGCAAGTCTACTCAGTAATAAGCCCCACCCAACAGGGTTCCCCCTGGTGCTGAGCCTCGCAAACCTGAAACTATTTTTTCTAACTAGGAGAGCTTGCAAATTTGCCAGATTTATACAAATTTCAGGGTGCTGCTTTTGTTGGCTCGTTTTGGCATGAAGCATACATCGTCAGCACTCAAAGCCCTCATGTCCTGAAGGTAAGTTTGGGGGACAGCTGCTGAAAGAGCCGGAAACTAAAACCAGCCCCAGGAATGAGCTGGGGTCAGTATTTCAGGACAGGCTGAAGAACCGTTGGTGGATTCAGGGCTAGAAAGAAGAAAGGTTCTGGAAATGAGACGCCACGGCGAAATAGGTGGCGTATAAATGTTTAAATAAATGAATAAAAGGAACAGCAGCAGCGAGACTGACTGCTGGGAGGTTGCTCTTTTGCAGGGGTTGTTGAGGCTGGGCCGGGGGCAAGCCAGTGCTTCTCTGGCGCCCCTCATTCCAAGCTGGGGACCCGAGCAAAAGGATTCCCGACACCTTGTGGTGTGCAGCTCTCGGCCTCTTGGCACCTTGCCGAACTCCAGGGCAGTGTGGGCACGCAGAGGGCGATTGTGTCAAAGAGTGTTCTGTTCAACCACTCTCTGGCAGGGCCCCCGTCCCACAGCCTCTGTTCCCAGCCCCCTCCGTTCGTTAATTTTGGAGGAAGTCCAGCTCTGTGCTCTTTGTGGGTGTTAATGAAAGTGCCAGCGAACCACTGAATCATTTTAATGCTTTCCATCCATCTTCGATGAGGGGGAGAGAAGAAGGGACGGGACTGCCTTTGAGTGTGCGCGCGCGCATGTGTGCAAGACTCTTTAACGTAGATCTCACAGGAGTGCACTGGGGTGGGGTGGGGTTAGGGGGGACAGAAAGAGAGACATTCGTTTTTATCCTCTGCCACAAGCAAATTGCTTTAATTGAGAAGCCGCTGCTAGGAAGGAGAAGGACAGCACAGGCTTCTCAGCATTATCTTCTTTAGAAGTCCCCTTCGCTGCAGAAAATACAAACTTGCACCCCTCTTCCCTCTCCACCTCCCATCAGCATCGGTTGTTTGCAGATGGAGTGCTTCCTTCCAGCAAACTGCACGCAGTTTAACCACGGCTCCCCTGCACAAAGTCCCCAGCATCTGCAGAGCTCACAAGCTCTAAGCTGCCTTGAATATTCCATGAAAATATCCCAGATTCTGCTCCCTGAAATCAGAATCTGGCCATTTGAATATATTCTGCACATTGAGTTGCACTAATGCACCAGTACCCTTGATCTTTCCACAAGCGTGTTGCTCTCTAAATAAGTTGTTACAAAGATCCATTGCCTCACCTGCTTCCCTTCCCGCCTCCTCAGCAGGACTGAACACATTAATTGATTTAACACTTGCTTTTAATTGCAAATTAGAAGTGTGGGTTTTTAATAACATCATTGGAGAGTTGTCTCCTCTGAAAGACTGTCCGGGGCTGTTGACATAATCTGTGTACATCCACCTCTCTCCTTCTCTCTGTCTCTCTGTCTCTCTCAGAATATCAATGTTAGAATTATATAAATGACACAAAGTGCTATTGGAGCAGAATACTCAAGACCCAAATTTGCTGCACTTATAATTGCAAAACAGGCCACCCTAAAGCTTTGCTGGAATGTCTGATCTGCACTCCACGCTCAGTCCAGATAGCTGCATCCTGAAATTATTTCTCAACGCAATTAAACTTGTATTTGCTGTTTAAACCAGTGTAGGCACTTGTGTTTTCATTTTTGTTCTCTTCTTTACTCCCTCTTCCCTGCTGCATCTGTTCCTAATGTTTCTTAGGTCTTCTTAACCAGTCGGTATCAGCAATTCAGACCCGAGTGGTTGGAAGTCGCAACCTCTGGTTCAATTTTCTGCCTGTGACATGACCCGCCATTGGCTTAGCAACAGTGGCCTAATTCACAGGATGAAAAAGAAAACACAAACCTGAACATGAAAAGTATCACATTAACAGATGTAGGCTTTGGGAGGAACTTAACATCAGGTTGCCTAAACATTACTAAGAAAATTCCCTCATGGTTTTATCAAACGTATGTAAGAAGGACACGCTTATGGAAAAAGAGGTTTTGTACTTGTTCTGGAAACTGTGCCAGGCGCGTGTTTCGTTTACACACTGCAAGGCTGTGTTTCTCATTACTCCACAAGGTAGCCCGTGGTTCACTGTCTCCCCGGGCAAGCTAATTTCGCAACTATCTTTGTTTTTGCTACGCAATAAAATTCACTGTTGTAAGACAACTTCGATGTCAGTTCTGTACTGGGAAAATGCCTGCCATTGAGGATCCTGAGTCAGTATTAAATGTGTAACATGCTGTAAACCAGGGCTAAGAGCAACCTAGCAACAGCCCTGCTGGCTTAGACCAAAGGTCCATCCAGCCCAGCGCTCCTCTTGCGCGCAGTGGCGAACCGGCTGCCCACAGGGTCCCTCCCGCAGGGCGGGTGCGAGGCCTCTGGTGGAGGCGGCGGCGGCCTGTAGCCCGCAAGGCTAGCAGCCACAGGTAGTCTCGTCCCTCATGAGTTCCTCCAGTCCCCCCTTGAACCACCCAATGGGAAGCCATTGTGCCTCCTATGGCAGCGAATTCCAGAGTTTAGCTACATGGCTGTGTAAAGAAGTGCTTCCTTCGCTGAGAAACTTTTTTGACTTGCGGTCTGAATTGGCGGGGAAGTCGAGGCTACCGGCCAGCAGTTGATTATGCCATCAGCTAAGGAAAATTATTATTAGAATTCCTATTATCACCTGCTGATTGGGGATGAAACCTTTTGCCTGTCGGAGCTTCTGCAGGCTAAAGGGTGAACTCCCATGGGGGGTGTGGGGGGAGAGAGAGAGAGAGAGAGAGAGAGAGAAACATCTAAGAAACTAAAGTGCTGAAGACTGTCAGATGTTATGCAGCCCAATTAGATGCTTGTTTATGCAAAAAGTTACTCTGAATATGTTGGGGCTGACTTACTTATTTGAAACATTTGTATGCCACCTAGTTGTGCCACAGCACCTCTGGGCAGCTCACAGTCATATGACAGAAACAGAGTCAGAAGGGGTCTCCCGGGCCATCTAGTCTGACCCCGCTGGCTTCAGCCGGCTCCACTCATGCCTACCATGTGCATGTCCAGCCTATCCTTAAAACACAAGATAAGATAAAACACAATAAAAAACTTAATTGCAACACATTAAATACAATGTTAATAAAATATGGATAAAAAAACCCAGAAGGTTGAATTATGTTTCCAATTTTTTTTTTAGAAGGAAGGTCTTCACCTGGCGCCCACTTGGGAGTAAGAGTGTGTACAATTTCAGCTGTTATAATTTTTCAAGATTACCATCTGAAAGATACCTTGGGTGTTTGCATACGCAAGAGCCATGTTGCCTATCCTATAGATTTCTGGGATTGGAGGTTGAAACAAAAAAATACCCAGAAGTTTTCATGAAACATAAATTTTTTCAAAGGACCTGTTCTGGTTTAGAAACAATCACTAGCTTTACACAACTCGCTAAGCCATGGTGGCTTAGTGCGTTCAGACTTTATCTTGTGGGATGGCTCATAAGCCCACATGGCTAAACTTAGAAGCCACGGCAACCGGCCACAATTTGTAGTAGCCCTGTCATCCAGCATTGGACAACACCACAACCCCAGCTGTGCCTGAAGGACGGGGCGCAAGAATCTCAGAGACTTGGAGATGGGGGTGTAGCTCCCACAAACCCAACGTCTGCTGAACTCCTGCTTTTTAGGTACCAGGGTTAATCATTGTGCTTAGGCCTTTCTCTCATGAATCTGCCTCATCCCTCTTTAACGAGGAAACCTGGGTCACATGAGGCAGCCAGCCCAAATATCTGTGGCTAGTAGCAGGCTGGAGGGCGAGTTGCACGCCTGGAGGGCACGAGGAACAGCATCACTGGGTTCAAATTCTCCGTCATGAAGCTGGCTGGGTTCAAACAACACGATAACCCATGCTCAACCCATGTTGAGTAGAGTGTGGGCTATTGCTTGT